AATTAAGAGTGGTCACTTAACCGTTGACTTCCGTTAGTTTGATGATATGTCACATTAGTAAAAGGTTTAATTTTTACTTTAACCCATGAAGTAGATAAACTACTAATTAGAGATCATTTTATAAATTCAAAATAATTTAAGGACAAAATTCTAATTTACCCTTTTATATGTTTTAAGTTTCTTTATCCAACGGCTAAAAGATTGCAATCTATAAAAAATAAGAGGTGTTTGGATTTCTCCGTCTTCGATTAATAATGGTTTGTTCTTCGTTCAATAACAATGGCGTTTAGAGTAGTGACCACAGATGAACGATGGTCGGCTGTGTGAGTTTAGGTCTTCAAAGGTCATGACTGTAAAGAAGAGGGAGGTGTGCGTTGCAAGAAGATGAAGTTGGGGAAAAACATATAAAAAGGTAAATTAGATCTTTGTCCCTTTTACTAACGTGTTACGTCATCAAATTAACGGAAGTCAATATTTCAGTGGCCACATTTTAATTAAAACAAGACGAAAGTGACTACAAATTATGTTTTTTTAATCGAGTGACCATACATTTCTAAAACTAAAACAAAAATGATCATCTTTGTAGTTTACCCTTAAATTTATTATAGTCTTCTATATACTGTGAAGACTTCCGTTAGTTTGATGATATGTCACATTAGTAAAAGGTTTATTTTTTTACTTTAACCCATGAACTAGATAAACTACTAATTAGAGATCATTTTATAAATTCAAAATAATTTAAGGACAAAATTCTAATTTACCCTTTTATATGTTTTAAGTTTCTTTATCCAACGGCTAAAAGATTGCAATCTATAAAAAAAATAAGAGGTATTTGGATTTCTTCGTCTTCGATTAATAATGGTTTGTTCTTCGTTCAATAACAATGGCGTTTAGAGTAGTGACCACAGATGAACAATGGTCGGTTGTGTGAGTTTAGGTCTTCAAAGGTCATGACTGTAAAGAAGAGGGAGGTGTCTGTTGCAAGAAGATGAAGTTGGGGAAAAAACATATAAAAAGGTAAATTAGATCTTTGTCCCTTTTACTAACGTGTTACGTCATCAAATTAATAGAAGTCAATGTTTCAGTGGCCACATTTTAATTAAAACAAGACGAAAGTGACTACAAATTATGTTTTTTTAATCGAGTGACCATACATTTCTAAAACTAAAACAAAAATGACCATCTTTGTAGTTTACCCTTAAATTTATTATAGTCTTCTATATACTGTGAAGACTTCCATTAGTTTGATGATATGTCACATTAGTAAAAGGTTTAATTTTTTACTTTAACCCATGAACTAGATAAACTACTAATTAGAGATCATTTTATAAATTCAAAATAATTTAAGGACAAAATTCTAATTTACCCTTTTATATGTTTTAAGTTTCTTTATCCAACGACTAAAAGATTGCAATCTATAAAAAAAATAAGAGGTGTTTGGATTTCTTCGTCTTCGATTAATAATGGTTTGTTCTTCGTTCAATAACAATGGCGTTTAGAGTAGTGACCACAGATGAACGGTGGTCGGTTGTGTGAGTTTAGGTCTTCAAAGGTCATGACTGTAGAGAAGAGGGAGGTGTCTGTTGCAAGAAGATAAAGTTGGGGAAAAAAACATATAAAAAGGTAAATTAGATCTTTGTCCCTTTTACAAACGTGTTACGTCATCAAATTAACGGAAGTCAATATTTCAGTGGCCACATTTTAATTAAAACAAGACGAAAGTGACTACAAATTATGTTTTTTTAATCGAGTGACCATATATTTCTAAAACTAAAACAAAAATGACCATCTTTGTAGTTTACCCTTAAATTTATTATAGTCTTCTATTTACTGTGAAATTTATTATAGTTTTTTAAAGTTAAAGACCTTCAAAACTATAAATAAAAGTGTAAACTAGAATTAATTGTTTTTACAACGCTAGAATTTTAAAATAGTCCGATAGAGAGCTAAGCGGTACAAAATTTCCGAAAATAACTAATCATTTAATTCACCAGTTAAATAATTTTCAAGTTTCTGATCTAACCACCATTTTTAAATGAGTAAATTACCCCGTTATCACTTGAAATTTTTGATATTTTATTTGTCTATTTAAGTTTTTTTAATAATATAAAATGATTATACAATAATATTAATTAAAATAATGATTATGGATAACACATATATATTATGCCGTTGTAATTTTTAAACTTGAAATCTCTTGAGAAAACAACACTCCTATTCACCCCTAAGATCATTCAATGTGTTTCGACTATTTAATTATTTTTAATAGTCTAGAGTAATTAAAATGTAGTATATGTTAAAGAATTTTTTTGACCAAGTAACAACATACACCCTATTAGTGACGGATCAAAAAATTTAGAAATAAGATTAAAAAAAATAGGTTTTTCTTTTTCAATATATTAGGTATGCAAAATTTCTTATTTTTTCTTCTACCTTTAATATATTGAACTATATTTATGATCTAATCTAAAATATTGGGTATGTATTTGGCTCCCTATGGGGCTATATGCATCCGCTCGTGCATCCTATAGATGTATCTGTTCGAACTCAAAATCTCTAAAAAAAATAACATTCTCTTATGTTATTAAAATTACTTAATAAATTACTATTTAATTGTTAAAATCTCATAAAATTGGATGAAAAAATAATTTTTGAAGTAGTATTGGATCATTAATGTCGGTCAGTGACATATGCGAACATCATCTTTGGTACCTAATAAATAAACACTGCAAATGAAAGAAAAAAAACGTAATTAAACTCGTGAAGTTTCCTTGCCGAAGCACTAGATGAATCCAACCCTCCCTCACCAAATCTCCAAAATTGGTCAACGTTCTTCTGTTGACACCTGGACCAAAACACCGCCACTTTAATATCTCCCATTCAAGGTTTTATTTTGTACCCCATTTTACATTACATCTCAATTTCAAGATTCATATCAAAATAATATGTGACATTTATACTTTTATATTATTAATAAGTTTATACGAACCAACTTTATAATCACACTAGATTAATCAAAATATATTATTTAAAATTCAAACTAAACACTTGGTATATCCTCCCCACAAACTTGAACTATGAAAAAAATTCTAACGTTCACTTAATTATATAACTAAGCATAAATAATATTTATTCAACGATTTAAGTAATTAAAAATATTATTCTTGAACTTATTAAATGACTCCGGTAATTAAAAAATGTTGTTTATAAATTTAAGTAATTGTATCTACTAATATGTGTACATGCATATTTTTTTAACAGTTCCTTTTTAGAAGAAGGAGAATAAAAATTTTACTCTCAATGGGTATTGAAATTTAATTTTTTTTAATAATCTATTTTAGAGATTATTGATGGAGTATATGTGTACGTAGGTTAAAAGAAATTGTACGTAGAATATTGTAGGGTTAAAAAAAAGAGATTTGGTAGGGAGGCGGCGATGAATGGAAAGCTATGGAGAAAGAGAAAGGTTTTAATAAATAAGAAATGTAGGATGGCAAATTTTGTGGGGGAGACGAGGCGATGTTTCGGTCAAGAGAAACCCGTGACCACAGCTGCTGTTTGCTCATTACCACCGCCCATTTTAACTCTCCTCTCTCTCTCTCTCTCTCTCTCTCTCTCTTCCTTTCTTTTATATCCCATTTAATATTTTCTTTTCTTAAATTCATATTTGGTATCCTACTTATTACTATCATATTATTTGATGTGACTATATAAATTTAAGGGTTAAGAACGCAAATGATCCTAATTATAAGGTATTATTTTATTAAGTTCATCGACTATTAAAAGTTATAAAATGGTTACCCAACTATTCATTATGTTATAGACTCATCTTTTCCGTTAAAAAAGTGATAGTTGTTTAAGCTGTATGTTAACATTATGATTGGAATATAATAGTCATTTGAGATTTTGGGATCAAATTTTAACATATCACATTCAACAAGTTAATGTTTAACTCAGAATATCATTATTTTTTTAACAAAAATGATGAATTTAGAACACAATGAATAGTAGAGTGACCATTTTTGTACCTTTTTAATAGTCGAGTGACTCAACAAAACAATATTATATGGTCGAATGATCATTTTGTAACTTTTAATAGTAGATAGAGTTAATAAAATAGTATCCGGAGACCATTTACCGTCTTTACCCTAAATTTAAATTCCAACACTTAAATATTACAAAATACATCTCATTTAGATCCCAAACAAGTTGCTAAAAACCTTAGAATAGATACAAATAATAAATAAAAGTAAAACATATATAAAATTTATTTTATATGATTCCTCTATTTTAATATTATTTTAAATTTAAGATATTATAATTTATGATTTTAAATATAAAATAGATATATTATATAAAATAAATCTTACACCATTTGTATATTAAATATAATTTTATCCTATATTAAATTGTCATTAAAGGATATTATACATATAAAATTATTTATTTTTATGATATTAAAATCTTATTAATTAATCTAGAAAGATAAAGTATAACGTCGAGAGTTTAAACCATGATTAGTCTATACCTGTACCTGTAACTGAATTAAAAAAAAGTTAACACAATTTGTTTATAGAAAAAGAAAAGCTTAGGTATGACAAATTATGAACACCTGTAGATTTGGAAGCATAAGAAGAAACACAATTCTATTACACTTAAAGGGTTTTGTCCTTTTTCTTTCCAAGTCAGTGGTCGGGAGTCCAGAAGGATCTCTTTGACATTCATTCGTGCAAAATTAAGTAATCAACAAACCCAGAAACAGAGAATTTTGAGTGACAGAGACTACTTCTTTCATCACCTAATCATTTAAGGCAACAGAATACAATAAACAAATATTTATAAAATGTTTTCTAATAAAGTTTTTATATTTTTATCATTTTAATCTGTTTTTAAATAAAAATAGAGATATTAAGTTATCCATTACTTGTCGATTTAATAAAAGTATACTATTAAAAATAGCCCTCGAGGTTTATTAAAATGATTATTCGGCTCTTATTATTTCTTTTACTCCTCTATGGATGGAAACAATATTCTTATATTAAAATGAATGCTATAAAAAGGAATAATGTGGAGTGGCCGAGTTCTCTGGGTCGTTCTAACAAGATTTGGTTACCAATTAATGTATGTGATTGGTCATCATATTACAATTAGGTGGTGTACTTTAACAAGAATGATGAAACTTTTGGCTTATTATTTTCACCCACTTCATTATAATAATATCATACTAGTCATCTCTTTGACCTGCTGCTACTTTTTTTATTATTAATTCAAATGAATGCAATTGAATCATATACTATATTTTAAAATTTTGGCCATCCTTTTCCATGCATGGGGTCCTTTCCATTTTAACCTCCTATTGGACACATTTTGAAGATATACAATTTAACATTTTCTTAAAACTAAATTTACATAAAGTAATTGAATTTTAATTTCTCGGGTTTCTTTTTCTAGGTGCTGGAAAGTTGTAGTGGTGCACCTTTGACTTCCAAACTTGTTCTTTCTTAGTTGATATTTTTTAAGAATAAACTACATATTTAGTCATCCAACCATACACTTTGGTTATGTTTTGATCACTAAACTATTTTTTCAAAATCACGTTTTGGTTTCATTTCAGTCACTCGCTATTAGAAAATGAACGATGAAAAAATATCATGTCATCACTGAAAAAATAAAAATGTCACTCTGCTAATTTTTTATCGATGGGTGACCAAAATGAAAATAAAATAGAATATCAGTGATGATATTAAAAACTTGAGCAGGTAGGCAGAAGAGATGTTAACATAAAGTAGACCCACAAACCGAAAGAACTGAATTCGCGCGAGTGACTCTTCTATAACTAGCAGCAGAAAGCGACCTAGAGCACCATCTTGGGAGTTTCCATTGCATTTTATCGATGAGAAAAATGCTAAAAATTGCATATAACTCTCTTATCAACTACCAACACCCCCATGTATTTCTCAAATTCAAAGACGGTCGTCAAATAATTTCAGTGGTAGAAGAGGAGGTTATTTATGGAGAGATAGAGAGAATATATGAGTTTTGTTACGGCTAACTTTATGACCCGAGTAATGACTGAACTGATTTTGGATGAGTTGTATCTTAGTTGCATTAGTCAATTCATGCGCAAAACACTACAGCAAAACTGCTATACAGCTGCGTTTTGAGAGTAAACGCCACTAACTTTAAACATATAACGTTGTTTCCATTCAAAATGCCGCAAAATGATAAATTTAGTGGTGTTTTTATACAAACGCCGCAATAGGGTTCATATTGATATTACCATGCCAATAATGATATCACCTTCATGATATCAATACCATCTGTCAATACTAATACCAAAACCATCTTCAAAGTTTGATTATTTTCCCTAGTATTGATATCAAGCCCTCAATATCGATTTTATGAATAATATCAATACATGTGAAGAATAGTGTCAATACTACTATTCTAACTTACCTAGATTTCTTCATACATTCAATTAGTACAATACTGCAAGCGCAACATCGATATTGATGTCCAAAAAATATCTTCTAAGACTAAAAATCCACTTCCAAATCCCTTCTATAGGTATCAATACATTTAATTGGTATTGATGCTTCATAAGGTTCCTATAGCATCATTTTGCACCTAAATATCTTATGTTAAACACTAAAATCAAACATTTCAAGTTAATATCATGCAACCCACATAAACATGCTTTCAAGCTATATTCTACCCCAAGGCATTATTTTTATGGATATCTTATTCCGATTTAGTCTCATATAATCTAAATTTCACTTAATTAATTGAAATTTGTCTCCAAAAACTTTTAATCCCGAATTTATGCTGTGACTTTTTTTTTTCATTTTTGCCTCTTAGTTTAAAGAGTGATCCCTAATTAGGGCTTAATCTAAACAAAATTAAATTAGGCTCAATAAGGATAAAAATGGATTGTTTTTTCTTTTTTAATAGAAACAATAATTTTCTCAATAGGGTGATCCTTAATTAGGGTTTATTCTAAACAAAATCCAAGACAATTATTATTCTTTCACTAATAGTAATTTTTTTGAAGTGTATGGCTGTTGGCACCACTTACAATGTGAAACGTCTCAAAACTATTAATCTTAGCTGCTCTTGAAAGTGAATAGCCATAGCAACCACTCAACACCTTGCATATCATTTATGTTAGAACAACGTTTTATGGTCGTTGAAGAATATAGAGGTGGAGTTGGTAGCATCATAATTACAAGTTAATGTAGGGCTCCAGCCCTTTAAAATTTCAGTCCAAGTGAAGCTAGTCACTGGTCAAACCACCTTATCAAGTTCTAACAACCACTGGGACTTGTCTCTGTTATGTAAGGCGAGGAAATCAAATTTTATGTTATTTAAAGACGTGGGCATAAAAATTCTCAAGTATTTATTAGTCTGGAAGGATTGATTAATTAATGAATACATTCTTTGTAAATATAATTGTTCGAACTCAAGATTTCTAAAAAGAACAACACTTCCTTTTATTACTAAAGTCATTCAGTAAGATAATATAATAAATATTAATGTTATTAAATGTAGTGGATATCGATTTCTTTTAAAAAAATCCAAGAATGGTATGTTATATAATAATTTATAATATCGAAATTTCAATAGTGTAAATAGAATAAATTAGATTAAAAAATTATCTTATAGTACTAAATCTAGATTAAGTAATCAATATATTACATGTTATTGTATTATGTAAATTGTGGTTAAAAGAAGTGTTATTTTCTGTTGAAGACTGAATTCGAGTGGATGCAAACGTAAAGTGTGTATGCATTATGAATAGTTAAAAGAATCATAAACGAATATTATCTTGTAATCACTCCTACTAATAAAATAAACATTGGAAAAATGAAACGGGAGAGGTGAAGAGAAAATGAAGAATTTGGCGATGGCATAAGAGAGACAAGGGAAAACACAGAACTGAGGATCTAAATCAGAATCAACAGACAGCCCAGTGGAGCAGCAGCGATGGAATTGAATGGAAGAGGTTGACCCCATAGTTTGACACTCTGACAGAATTGATTTCTTGTTGTAGAGCTGTAATTAAGAGGAAGTTTGTTGGGACTATGAAGTCATGGAGTTGTCAGTCTGTGAGTAAATAAGCAAACAAGGTATCTCGTGATTCATATATACCACACCGTTGACTTGTCCACAAGATGACAATCGGAATGCACTCACTTCAATTAGTCTGTCGTTTCTATTTTAAGAGCCTGGATCCTCTTTTGCTTCCCCACGGAGTAATATTCATCCTAAATTGTCGCCCTATCAATAAAATCATCAACGAATAAATAACCTCAAACAAAACAACGGATAGTATAATAGCGAACGTGGAAAGTTTCAAAAACTGCAATCAGGTTTTCCTATTTCCACTACTTTTGCTTTGGTAAGAAGATTTTTATATGTTGGAATCATTGTCTTCAAGTTTGTTTATTTTTATCATTTGCCACGATTCATTAAAGTGATGTAATCTCAATAAATGTTGTTGCAGATGTTTTTCATATGTTGGAATCAGAACTCGAGGGGTCTAATAGATATGGTGTCTAACGTAACGGGAATGGGCCAATCGGTTCTTATGTCGAATTTTGGGCCTTACATCTTCTTTCAACCCATGAAATTCTTACAATAAATTAAAAAATCTAAAATGTAGGAGATTTAAAAAAAAATTCCACACTCCCTTCTATCCATTCTTATTCATTCCCAAATCAAGGCCATGAAATTTACATATTCTAAGTACACAACTAAAGATAAATTGAGGGGCATGTGAGAGCAGTCACCCTAATAATTTAAAATTATCGTATATTTTAATTTTTTTATGTTTTTTATTGAAAAATCTATTTTTGCCTCCTAGAATTTTATAAGTCTATCTCTTTTATAAAATTTTAAAAGTTCACACATAACATAAAATTATACATCTATCCCGACAAACGACCCTTAATTCCATCCATATGCTTTGTGTTGGCCTCATCGTACCACAATGTTACGTACTGGATTTTGAGCAAGTTTTCTTTTATGTGAGGAAAATGAATTGCATGTTCCGAGATCATATTTACTCGTCATGGAACCATATGCATAAGATTAAGATTGAATCTATTGAAAAATATGATTCTGTTATGAGATAATATTGTAGTTATTGTTGTAGGGTCTAACCGTTAAGACAACGAGTCTATTATCATTTGATGGTAAAATTCACATGACACTAAAACTAACCTAAAGTATTATCAAGGACGATTCTAAAACTTTTTTTCTTCTTTCTTCCACGATCACTACCAGACTTTTCTTTAAAAAAAATTGTAAAACTTCAATTTTATTTATTTTTTATTTTTTAAGGGTAGTTTGTGCCTATTTATAAATGGAAGTATAGATATCACATGAACAATACAAATACTCTTAATTTAATTTATCTATATTTCTTTTGAGATTTAAAGAGACCGATACTTCAAGAATAATATCGATACTAGAGTGTAGAAATGAACTATTAAGATGTGAGGATTCATTCTAACACGACTCTAAGCATCCTGTCCCACCCACACTCAAGTCAATCTCTAAAGCAACAAGCACCATCAATACATCATTTGACATTATTTATAACCATTTACAACGTCAAATTCACAAAATACACATCAAACGTATATTTTGACTCATAAGAAGCTATATTTATGGTTTATATGCTATACACTAAAAACAAGAATGTGTTACCTTGGGAGAAAAAAACCAAAATAAGGTTCCTTAATCACCTCTTCAAGACTTCTCATTTCTCTTGTTCCTTCACTAAACAAACAAGCAATAAAATAAATTATGATACAATTAAAGAGTGGAGGGAAAGTAGAATATAAAACGAGTAACTCTCTAATCTTCTCAAATCCTCCATGAATACCCTAAAAGCTTAAATCTTTTGAAAATTCTTAACTTCTTCAAACCTTTATACGAAAATTCATCTCATTTTGAAGTTTGGGAGATGAGGATGATGATTCTTACCTTAAAAAAAAAACCAACACCAATGTTATAGGATGAATGTGAAAGAGAATGGGAGAGAAAGAAACAGAGCAAATATGGAGGGTATGGGTGTCGAGAAATGATCGAAGAAGAGAGAAACTGCTAGTTTTGATAGGGAAGAATTGCATGGTCAAGTTGTAGTTTCTTCGCTACAGAATTACCAACCCAATGGTAACTAAAATTGCTGTTTTCAGGCTTTTACAGCAAAAGCTTTTCACATTACATTAAATCATACATGTCGTGTCATTTACACTTACTGTTCAAGCGACTAACAAACATTTACAACATAAATTCTACTTTTAAAAAGCAAAAACCTTGAAAGGACCAGCTAAGGCGAGATTTGTGTAACAATCAGACATCAAATACAAATTTATTGCGAATCAATTTGAGTGTTTCTAATAATACAACATCAATATTATACACGCAAGCTTGTCTCTATACCACATAATCCAAATAGACTTTCATACACAAATTATCAAAGTTTGAAT